CTTTGAATAGTAAAACAAGGACAAGTGCTCACATTGTACCTAAAGGTCCATGGCACATACCCCCTATATACCCTCTAGAACCCAAGGCCCCACACTTCAGAAGCGGGACCATGTTAAAGGACAATGTAACTTCCTTGAGAAGCAAACCTCGACACTAACCTAAACCCTAGGTTCTGAGCCCTAAAATTCAAGGCCTTTATCCGGAAGCCTACTACACGAAGCCCCAACCCGAAAACCCAAAAACAAACCTAAAAGCCCAAACAAAATCCAAAAACACACCGAAAACCACTAAACCAACCGTAACAAACCCTTAAAACAAAACACTAAACAACCTTTAAAACTCCAAAACACCTTCGAGAACCCTTCATAAAACATAAACAAAAAACTTCAAAAACCCTCAAAACTAGCCTTAAATACCTTTAAGCCAAAAAAACAGTCCTGAGCCCTGAGTCTTACGCCCCAGGCCTCTGCCCCGAAGAAGAAAAGGCTCTCCGCTGCGCCATCGGCCTTCACAAGGGATTTCGGATGTTTAGGGTTTGTAGGGTTTAGGGGTTTAGGAGTTTGGGGTTTGGGGGTTTGGGGGTTTGCGGGGTTTGGGGGTTTGGGGGTTTGGGCGTTTGGGGGTTTGGGGGCTTGGGGGCTTGGGGGTCGTGATGTTCCCCCTTCTCCTAGCAGTCCTTCATAGGGAAATTAATAGGGGGGATGCTATGATCCTGATTCAGGACTGTAAGTAGAAGGGGGAACATCCCAACGTGTAGAGTTTAGGGAGTAGCCCAACATCAGAAAGCCAGCTCAGCACGGGCTGTTGTGTAAAATCTCCCAGAAGCGAGGACCATACGACGGCTTCTAAGCCCCTTTTGATCTAAGGGTAGTTCTATGGTCGTTTAGAATGGGCCCTTAGAAGGGTACCCCTTATATACCCCAAATTAAGGGCCCATACATCAGAACCCTGTGAACGAGGTTAGGGACCATACTAAGGGCACATGAAACTACCCTCAGATTTGAAGAAGCCCGCCGTGCGAAACTGCTATCGATGTTGTGTGGTAGACCGCCGGCTTGAAACAAAGGCAACACTGAAAGTAGCGGCGCTGACTCTCATCTGCTTCGCGAGCGGTCTAGACTTTGCAGAGCTGTGGGTCGTGCACATGCCTTTGTTGCACATGCCGATGTTGGCACCTCAGCTTTGGGGCCATGTTCTGTCCCTGTTTCACACAGATGTGAGTAGATATATGTAACACACACACAAACATATACATATACACACACACATACGTATATCCATCAACTTTCCTAGAATATTATGAAACCCTCAACCCCTAAACCGCTAAATTCATACACCCCTGAAAGCAACCCCCTCCCGTCTTAAACCCTAAACCCTAAACCCTAAACCCTAAACCCTAAACCCTACAGTAGACCCTGACAAACAACATAACGTCGCCTCGGGCCGCTTCAGCTGCAGCGCCAGGCGGAGGAGGAGCTCGAGCCCGACCTGGCTCTCTGGGACTTAGGGGGCTCAGGGTTTAGGGTTTAGGGTTTAGGGTTTAGGGTTTAGGGTTTAGGGTGCAGTAGGCCACCCTTAAACCCTTAACCCGTGAACCCCTGAACCCCTCAACTCCAAAAATATCCGCAAACCCTTGTTCGACGCTAGTCACGCGAATAAACCTTAACCGTAAGCCTAGACCCTAAAACCCTCAAAAACCCTAAAGCCGAAAACCCGAAGACGCTTAAACCCGTCGACAAATGCGCCTGGGCCTCGACATTGGCCTCAGAATCAGAAACAAGTGCTAGAGGGTAACCTCCTGCAACCCTACGTAAACGTTTAGGGTTTAGGGTTTCGGGTTAGGGTTTAGGGTTTAGGGTTAGATGAGTTTAGGGTATAGGGTTTAGGGCCAGGGTTTAGGCACTCAACCCTGAACCTTGAACCCATGCGGCTGCGGCGCCTTCGTCTTGTGGGGCTTGAGAACGCACGCGCAGAAGTGACGAGAAGAAGAACCCCGTGAACTGAGCCACCGGCGCTGCCCTCCGAGGCCAGGGAGTACTCCTGCTTTCGGTTTAGGATTTGTAGGGTTTAGGGTTTAGGGTTTAGGCTTTGGGGTTTAGGGTTTAGGGGTTAGGGTTTACGGTTTCGGGTTTCGGGTGAACCCGAAGCCGAGCCCTAAACCCTAAGACCACAAACTTGTGCAAAAGGGGGCGCCCTGAACCCTAAACCCTACAGTCTCTACCCTAACCCCTAAATCCTAAAGCGTCTACCCTAAACCCTAAGCCCTAAACCCTAAACCCTATGCCCTAAACCCTATACCCCAAACCCTATACCCTAAACCAATTCTTGTGTGTGGGAGACTTAGGGAACTTCGCATGCTGTGGTGTGGGAACTGTGACCCCTACGTCTGGGCCCTTGAAGGTTCACACGTCATGGGTAGTTCTTCGGTAGATTTATGAGGGTTTAGGGTTTAGGGTTTAGGGTTTAGGGTTTAGGGTTTAGGGTTTAGGGTTTAGGGTTTAGGCAAGCTATGCAAATAGAAAGTTTTATCAAGCTTTATCCGCATCTAACACCCCCTAGACCCTAATCCCTTCAATCTCCCGAACCCACACCCGAACTTCTAAAAGAGCTGAAGCCTTAAACCCCAAACCCTACAGCCCTCAAACCCTCAAACCCTCACACCCTCAGACCCTAAACCCTCAACCTGCAAACCCTTAACAACAAATGCCACGTCCCGGGGTCCAGCACGTTCCGCAATGGCTGGCCTAAGCGCTGAAGGAATGCCTGAGCCAAAAGAATTCAGGGTTTAGGGTTTCGTAACTTTTTAAAACCCTAAACTCTAAACCCTAAACCCGAAAAAGTAAGTTTGAGTAGGCTTCAGGGTGGGATAAGGCTTCAGCTTGGTCTTGGCAACTTGTCAGCCTAAAACCGTGCACATACCTGAAGCCGTAGGCGGCAGACGACCCTGAGTGCTTTCAGTGTTTGCAAGGTCTAAGCATGGTTATGATGTTGGCAACTACTTGTGAACCCCCATCTAGGTCGGCCCTTTGAAAACCCTGAGAACACCTTCCTACACATGAGCCTCTTAATCCCGGCTGGGGCAAAAGCAATACCTACCCAGACCCATTGGACGATCCAAAAAGTAGATAAGAATGGCCCACTAGTACAGGGTACTACGTTGGGGGGTTCTCCTTTATGGATCCTCCCAGGGGGCCTCCCTAGTAGCCCTAAACCCTAAACCCTAAACCCTAAACCCTAAACCCTAAACCCTAAACCTGGTATCCCAAGGGCCAACCCCGGGCAAGAGAATCGGCACAGAGCCTGGGCCTGACCAGCCAGGCTCGTGCACCTTGCGGTACAGTAGTTGAAGTTGAGGGTTCAGGGTTCAGGGTTTAGGGTTTAGGGCTAGGGTTTAGGGTTTAGGGTTTAGGGTTGAGGGTTTAGGGTTTAGGGTTTAGGGTTTAGGGTTTAGGGTTTAGGGTTTAGGGTTTAGGGTTTAGGGTTTAGGGGTTAGGGGTTAGGGTTTAGGGTTTAGGGTCCGCCGACCCTGGCGGCGTGTTGGATGGGAAAAGGAGGTGAAAACCTCCCTCTTTCCCTCCTTACCCCCCCAAAACGCGGGTGGGGCGGGGAGGAGGGGGGCACCCGGGCAGCTTTTCCATGGAGGGCCAGTCCACCCACACCGCATAGACTCACGGACCATACGCGGTTTCGCACAGGACATAGGGGCCCTTTGGGCCCCCCCCCCTACCCCCCCCCCCCCCCCCCCCCCCCCCCCCCTCCTGGTTCTGGGCTCCTGTTTGGGTCCTGGTGCTACTCCCCCCCCCCCAACGTTTCACAGAGGCTCAAGCAAATCAACTTTTGGACCCTTTGAGCTGACGAGCGCGTTTAAACCTTTCAACTATGCTCCAGCAGGGTCGGCGGCTTGAGCCGGAGGCTCTTAAATTTAGGGTTTAGGGTTTGGGGTTTAGGGTTAGGGTTTAGGGCTAGGGTTTAGGGTTTAGGGTTGAGGGTTTAGGGTTTCGGGTTTAGGTTGTAGGGTTTAGGGTTTAGGGCTAGGGCTTAGGGTTTTAGGGTTCAGGGTTTAGGGCTTAGGGTTTTAGGGTTCAGGGTTTAGGGCTTAGGGTTTTTGGGTTCGCCAGATCGGAGAGCAAGGGTGGAACCGAACCATGTGCGAGTTGCTCTAAAGTCGGGTCCTCCAGGGATCTTACGTGGGGGTTTCCGAAATTAAAGGGTACCTTATTGGGGTCCTTGTTGTAAGGGAATCCTACTTTTTGGGGGTATATAGTAGGGGTCCCTGATTGTCGTAAACCCACACATAGCAGGCAAGTTGTCAGAACAAGTAACCCGAAAAGAACGCTAAAGCTCAATGCTCAAAGCCCTAAAATCGCTAAGTCCAAAAAGCCCCAAATCCGGCAAGACTGAGCCCTAAACCCCTAAAATCAAAACTTGCAGCGTGTGGAACCCCCAAACCCCAAACCCCCTGCAGAAAATAAACCAAAAGTGTACCTCTAGATGTATATGTGTTTTTTCATATATGTATGTACAAAAAAACAGCTGCCGCGAAACCCGAGGCTCTGGCCCCAAGGACAGGGAGTTGTCCCGCCAACCCTTCCGCGAGAGCTGCAGGAAGTCCTGGCCAGATCCCTCAACGCCCCCTAAGCCCCCTAAAGGGTTTAGGGTTTAGGGTTCAGGGTTCAGGGTTCAGGGTTTAGGGTTTAGGGTTTAGGGTTTAGGGCCCCCTAAAGCCCCGAAAGCCCCCCTTAAAACCCACTGTATCGTGACAAGGTCGTGCACTGGATACATACACACGCATCCTTTTCGCCGAAGTCAACCCGGCAACTGTATCTGCATGCAGTCATTGGGCACATGGCCGTTGTGGCATTGTGATTACTCTCAACACTGTCAAACCCGATAGGACAAGGCTATTTGCACAAAAGTTTCCCTGAACCCTAAACCCCAAACCCCAAATCCCAAACCCTAAACCCTAAACCCTAAACTGCCCAAACCCATCGGCCGGCTC